TAGTCAGAACAGACAGCTCCACTGACACATCACTGCTTTCAGACAGTCCTCACCCTCTTTTGTTTGTCTGCCACGTCCCACTCACTATACCAGTCAAACTGTGCTTTGACAAGGATGTGCACAGAATGCTTTGCGAAATCCTAAAATCCCTCAGTCGTTTATAATTGCAGGCTAACACTGTTCAGTGCTTTTGCTGGCTGAATCATGTCTGATCTTTCCATCATTCTAGCACACAGAAATTGTGTCAGAACAATCCATGAGAATGTCACTAGAAAGTGTGTATCATTACAATGTCTTGATATTAATGTATCATTATAATTGTGTATTAAGGTGGCACTGAGCCTGAAAGCTCTGGAGAGAAAACACTGTTAACCGAAGGCGTTGCTCAGCTAGATATTCAGGAACCATAATGTCATGAACCTCAACGATCCATCCATCCATTCATTATCTATACCACTTATTCCTGACAGGTCGCCAGTCTATCACAGGGCTGACACTTAGAGACAGACGACCACACACTCACTCCTACGGGCAATTTAGACTCACCTAACAACTTATGCTGCATGTCTTTGGACTGTGGGAGGAAGCCAGAGTACCCGGAGAGAACCCACGCAGGGACAGGGAGAGCATGCAAACTCTGCACCGAAAGGCCCTGGGGCGGCCCGGGCTCAAACCTGAAACCTTCTTGCAGTGAGGCGACAGCGCTAACCACTGAGAAACCTCAACTAGTAAATACAAAAATGGGCACACTGTCGGAGTTCTGAAGCTAGGATGCTTTCTATTATATACACTCACTGACTGTAACATTTCATCAAGATAAAGATTTACAGTGTTTATTAAAATGTGCTGCACCGGTGCTATGCTTCAAAATCCCTTCACCACATACAGTAAGTAAAGTACGGTATAGAATTTGTACCGGAGAGCAGCTCAGCACAGTCACGCTCCTCCTTGTATTATTGAACAGCTTCACTGTAGACTCAAGACGATGAAGGGGAGAGAAAATCATTCACTCTTCAAGCTCATTTTACCAGCAATCCCAGAGATTCTCTGAGACTCATGGACTCTCTTTTCCTGTTTGTTTGACCAAGAGCTGAATATTGCTGATTTATATATTACATTTGATTTCATATATACACTGCCCACTATAATAAAAATCAGAAAAATATGGTTTAAAGGCTTCTATGTCTGTTATCCTTAAAATCCTGAAACATAAATCCATGCTGATATTCTTTCAATTTCAATGTACTGTCCTTTTGGAAATTCTTTTTGTCTCTGTGGCAACTGTCAGGCAAGTACATTACACATCAACACAACACAGATGAGCACACACACCCCATACAAACACCACCCAGATCACTGTAAACTGCAGTAAACCATCATTGTTCAGCAGTTTTATACTGGAGGGTATAAAAGATCTGTGGACACGTGCAGCCCGCAGCACCAGCAGCCTGTACCTTTGTCTTGAAGGTAACTGCTCATATTCACTATGCAAAGGATGTGACATGTCCCTAATAATTGCCCAGGCCTTCTGCAACGCTCAGGACTGACAAAGCACTGTCATACTGTGATTCTGTTTACCTGCAATCTTACTAGACAGATTAATTTTATTAATTCACAAAGGAATAATAGAAAAGGACCAGAAAATGTCTGTCCACGTCAAAATGTCGAAGCTTACCAATGAAATATCATCGCTGTAGCCCCTTCTTATAAATAGCATCTGTATTTGAGTCCCATGATAGTTTTGCATTAATAACTGTCCCAGGATATTTGTATTCATTCACAACTTCAATACAGTCCCTATTAGCAAATATTTGTTGGTTCCCTACTTTTGTTCTAAAAGCAAAGACCATTTCCTTGGCTTTCTTAGTATTGAGATGCATAGAACTGGCCTGACACCAGTCAGAAAACTTATCCACGTGTCTATGGTACTTCATTTCATCTTCAGTAAATTCTGATGCTCACAGTGACTGTACAGTATTCAAGAGGTTCATCTGAGAGTTGTACTTCAGGTCCCAGTGTTTATTTATTTAGAAATAAGAACATCTCAAGCAGGTTTAACTCTGAGACAAAACTAAATAAATAAATAAATAAAATCAAAATTGATTTAAATACACTGATGTTATAAGCCGAGCTGTAAAGTCCAGGTATAAAAATGATACTGGTTTTACTGGTATGAAAACCCTACATTTGTCTTGAACAGAGACAAATTAATTTCTCTAGCCTCTACCTTTCTCTGAGTTCAGAGTGTAACACTTTGCTGTACTGTAATGATAGCAGGGAGGTCAGTGTGATTTCTGGGGTGTGCGGGTTTGGCTGTTGTAGCCAGTGTGGACCTCTGGATACTATTCTCCACAGTGATATGAGCAGTAGCCCTCTGCAACCTCATGGTAATCATTTTTACAGCCCTTCCTTAATTAAAATGTCACATCCACTGTAGCAATATACAGCAGAGTTCTCAGCAAATTAAAAAGGAATTAGGCTGGCAGATGTGGCCTTAATGGCTTAATCATGCCTTTACGTTCGTTCCAGTAAATTGCAGCCACAGATGAATATTGTTTCAACTCTCACATCTATGAATAATGCCTGAAAAACAATATGAAATCTAAATAGGGAGACAGCTGCTCTGGGTATGTTGAAAACATCTCATGAAACATCAGCATTTGACGAGTCAGACACTTTAGCATATCCTCATATAGGAGTCAGTCAGCAAAATTACAATGCATACTGGTTAAGTACTCTGTCAGACTCCCTTCACAGCTGTAGCCAAGCTGGATGTCCGTCTATATCGCTACATACTGTATAGAGAAAATGGACTAAACAGTCAGTATAAGTTTCTGTCAGTGGTACTGCACTGCTCCTATGTGAGAGAGCTTTCTTTTTGAACAAAACAGTATGTTTTGTATTGGTATGGTCTAATTTCTACCCCTTTATTAAGTTTGGCGAATGCTGCACCTTTAGACCAAATATCATTTGTAACATAAATTTATATGGAGGAGCTGTTTAAATGATTTAATGAAATCAGCACATAACAAGCTTTTTACAGTCATCTACAGACAACATTGAATCCATATCAAATATGTTTCTGTTGCTTAAACATGAGTGTCAGAAATTTGAAAATGCTGTGTTTTGTCAGATGTTGTGTAAGATGCATGTAGTAGTTAGTTACCCTTAGGACACACTGGCTTCTCCTGTCTTTTCACTCTCTATTGTTTAATATATAACATGACAGCATCATCGAGGTTGATGAACATGATTCTCTGAAATATTTTACTGTATAGTCATTTCTTCCTCCTTATTGTACAAAAAGCTGTGAATATTTGTTGAAATGCATTATCTTAAATTGTCCTTATGATACTGGATGGGAGGTATTTTAATGAAATACATAAGAACTGACTATTATTTCCATCACTTCATTGTAAAACAAGTTCCTGAATATCTTCATGGTTCAAGGCACTTGTCTATTCACTCTCAGCCTTTAAACAGGCTTGGTAGGGGACCATGCAGCACCTTTACACAGACAGCAATGCCCCTCAGTTAAAACATATGTGCAGCTGTGACTTGTGACTTTAAATAACTTGCATGATGAAAAGCTCAGATATAAAAAATGTGTGATTACACTTGTCTCATTTATGTAAATCTCAGTTTAAAAATAAATCAAATATAATCATGAGTGGTTAATTACAGTTAGTCTGTTAATGATCTTTTTTATTGCATTAACAGATAATACACAAAAAATTAGATTTAACCAAGAAGCACATGCATTTCTAGGATGGACTACAATCTTTCCTGCAGTTTAACTTTTAACCTGATGTCAACCTGCCCTCCACTTGTCTCTCTAACACTGCTCAGGATTGATCAGCACAGATGTTTCCAAAAGCAAACAGCAGCTTTAACTTTCACAACTGCAAACACACTTTTCTTTCTTGCCACAACTCCAAAACCCGGCTTGAGATTTCGATGTACTACTCTAGATTTTTCTACCTAGAGCATGTTTATCTTTTCTCTCCATCACTATAGCTTTTTTCCCCTGAAAGTGTAATCCTGAGAATGAATGTAGAGAGACTAAATTAAGGGACCCAATTTGAAGCAGCACCACTTCACTGATAAGCTGTACCAGTGATCTGTGAGAGCACTCAGGGTCTGCTACATTATGACAATATAGAGGAATAAAGCAGATGAAAGAGAATAGCCTGGCAGGAGCAGATATCAGATGGGCAGAGGGAGAGGAAAAAACAATCTGAAGTCTAATTGTGTTATGCCTCACGGCAGCAAGGGAGTTCAGAGAGACACATTTTCTTTCCACACGCCATTCAGCATAGTCCTTTCCCCAATGCGATCACTTTAATTTCCAACCAGTCCCACTCTTTCTTGCCACATCCTCCCTGGGTGCATTTACTGAAAAAGAGACATTAAAGGCAAATGGTGGAAAACCTAACCAGACCCATTAGGTTTGACCAGAAACCCGCAGCACTGGCATTTAAAACTGGGAATTTAAGCATGTTGGCTAGATGCGTCTGACGCACTCCAAGTCATTTGGTGTCATCTCTGTCCTTTGGGTGCAAAGTGGCACTTTGATGCCTGTAGGAATCGAAAACCAGCGTTGAGGCTGATGATTCACTCAAGTAAATTATTTTTTCCTTTAGTCCTTTTTTTTGACAAAATATAAGGTAAGACTTGCTTTCGAACAAGACAGGATAGTCTATAAGGCAATATCATAGTTAATAATCTTTGAGCTTGACCGCTTGCTACACATTTATTGTGATAAAGTCCAAACTGTACAATGCTGAAAATCAAATTTAACTGCAAGCTGAAGATAATTATCTTCGATATATTATAAACCATCAGTACTGTAAAACACACTGTGGCCTGTGACTTGACAGGCTTGCTAGCAAAAAATCCATTTTTAAATATACATGAATTAACCCAAACCTGACCAAAGAACTGAAGTAAAAAAAAAAAAATCCAGAATTAAAAGATTATAAGAATTTATCTAGACATACCTGTTGGGCTTCCCAAGGTCAGTTGTCCATACACTGATACAGAAGCAAGGAAGTCCTTAAGAAAATCCCCTGTGTGACTCTATTCACAGGTCATTTACTCAAGGGTCTGAAAGAAAACAAAAGAAAAACAAATCAGAGCAGACATAGAGAGTGGGCTCATGACTGCAGTCCACTCAGCCGCCACAAATGCCCAGCAATCCAGGATAAACATCCTTGAAGAAATGTGAGTTTAACCAAGGTAGTAAGCACGAAAAAACTCACATGACATTTACACAGTATCTTCTCTCCTTGCCTGGTCAACTCGATCATTTTTTGTCTAAACAGCAGCCAGAGAATGGATCATTACACCATCGCTTCAGCTGAAGAAGACAAGTGAGTTATATTTGCAAGGCTCATACCATGAAACTTAAATGATACAGCCTTGGACAGCAAAGCTTAGAGACCGATTGAAATGCACATGAGCAACTTCAAGGCAACTCCACAGAGCACACAACAGATTTTTAAAAGCCTTGTTGACCACTTTACAAAAGAGCCCAGCAACAAGAGTAGCTACTTTCTGGGCAAAGATCAGCAGTACTGTTTGGTTAAACTGCAGTAATGCATGCTGTGACTGTTTGGGGTGACAGGTCAAGGCAATTCACTGTGTTTATGTGTTATTAGTGTGAACGTGTGCAGAATACCATGCAGGCAGAAAAAAAAAAAACTAAAGGAAGTGAATTTTATTGATCAAATCCATGGCAATTGATAGTAAACACACCATATACCGACTACTAAAAAGCTAATGGTATGAATGCTTAAGATAGGGCTTGGAAGGGTATGAACACATCCTATGATGGCTGTTATTTCAGTGAGCATATAACCAGCTGTCAACTGAAACATCTGGCTGTCCGATCTCCTGGCCATCACCCCATCATGGGGCTGTTATTGACAGAAGGCCTGGTCAGGGTATCAGCTAGCACTTTTCATGTTCGAAATGATGCGTTCACTGGGCGTTGAAGGCTTACCAATAAAATCTATTCCTGTGACTGGTGAAGTTCTAAACAACTAGGCAGCTCAAAATAAACAATAAAGAGAGATGCATTAAAGTGCTGAGTGGGGCTATAGCTTCAATTTCACTGAACATTTAAATCCCAAGTGCTCCACACTGAGGATTAGTTCTGTTGAAGACTAGTAAAACTTACAAATGTTCTTTTGTCATTGCTTTTCCTTTTTTCTTTTCTTTATTGCCTAAAACTGAATAATTTTAAAATCCTGTGTTAGTTATTGTGTTTATGTATTGCTGTACTGTTGCTGTGTTGTTTCATATTGTTACACACTGTGCATGGCTTTCACTCTGTCACATCATGATGCATAGGAGAACTTCATTCCCATTTTGAAGATTAGCAAATATGACAACTGAATATTAATCTTCTGTCATTATTACAACTTCTGTGTGTTTATGGAAGAAGCATCATGTCAGATGTGACAACTTATCTAGCCACTCTCATCCTCATACTGCAGCAGGATTCATAACAGATTATGAAACTGTGAAGGATAAAAAAAAAAAATTAGGCTCCAAAAGTCTTAATGCCAGCGGGAATTTACTGACTATATCACATTTCAGTAGCATTGGTTTGCTCAGTGATTTTACTCGCTAAGCCACATTTCAGACACTTAAACTGTACCTACAAATTTAGTAGAATGTCACATCTGATATACTGTAGTTTCCTTAAACTCAAATTTCTTGATGCACACCAGTAGACACGTGAGCTGTAACTGCTGACCTAAGAAAGGCTCACCTCTTCCAATGACTTACCAGTGCTGCTATTTTCATCCCACCCAGCGATCAGCCTAATCCACTATCGGAGGATTTGCATGCTGTGGTACAGAACAACTGTGTTGCAGCAAAATGATTGTGCCTTAATTGGAGCAAAGACTTAATGAGGGCCCCCTGAGGATCATCATATGTGACCTAGAAATGACCCAGGTAGCTGAAGATAGTGTATGGTCAAAAGGATCAGTTCATATATATAGGTTTCTAAATTGGAGTGACAGTGCTGCAACTGTGCCAAAGGGATCTAACATTTTTATTTCTTCATTTTTTCAGGAGGGTCTTTGTAGAGAGTAGAACTAAAGGAAAAATCTCTGTGGAAAATATGGCTGCAGGACCAACAGCCATCTGCTGCAGCTGGAGGAAAGTAATGGTGCATTTACTTATTTATCCCCAATTGATCTTGTAACCTACTAAATACTGTGTTTGTGCTTCAGTTGATTCTAAATGGAGACCTCTTAAAACTACAGTGTCTACTAAACATTGCTGTTTTTTTCCATTATAACAAGAACCAAAATCAGATATGATCATAAAACAAGTGCTAATTTGTCATAACACTTCTATTGCTACAAAGGAAGGTTACTTTTCAGAAGAATTTCATCATTTGTTTGGTCTATGAAGTAATTTAAACATGGCCAATACAATGTCAGCAAATTACATGTGCAGTTTGACCAGCAGTATAAAACCTTTAAATATTAAATGTGCAGTCCCACTGAATATGAATAAGGGTGTGTTTAAAGACTTTTACTGTCAGTTAAGTAATTGATTAACTGATTGTTTCAGCTCCTAATTTTTTATTTTTAATTAGGTCATTCTTGTGAAGAAAAACACTCACAGTAACTAGTGTGGCACCATGTTAGAGAGGTAAAGCAGTTTTTCCTCTTGGGATCCTGTCTCCATCAGATATAACTGACCAAGATAAATGGTTAGGCTCTAAAGTCAGATCAATTCAGTCTAGCAACTGTCCTCACCAGGAACAAAAGGCCACACTGTCAACAAGGCTCAACTCACTTCAGTGCTTATTCATGGGCTTTTTGTCCTTGTTACATAAATACCAGAAACTGTGACTGTCCTGTTTTTAAAAGTTGAATAGGAGATTGTTTCTTAACATTTGTATCAGTGCAGCTTTTAATTTGCATAGTGTAGTTTTTTTTTCCTTCCAGTTCAGGAGTTTTTGTGTGCAACAAAACCCTTTCAATCAATGGCTTGTTTCCTTAGGCCTCTGTAGTATATGACCACATCCCCACTGGATTTATGAACTAACTTTAATTTCCCTATTGTGAACTATTTCACATTTCAGTTCAGTGGGTTTCAAGGTCTGTACTCAGCCATACTCAAGAAAGGCCTCGAGTCATCACCTGCAGTGGTGTTATTCAGCCTGCACTCCAGGCACTGATTTCATTATGTACCAAGACACGAAGTTTGTGCATTCAAGTGATGAGACAAACATGCCAAGAAGCTTTTTAGGCTCAGTTTCAGTGATGCAAAGCACAAGTAAATTATATGCACAACGAGGAGCGCTAACAACATTTTTTAAAAATTTTCTCACTCCTTTGTGTCTCACATTAGCACCGGTCATATGTGCAGTATGTGTGTGGATGCATGCTTTGTGAGTGTACAATGGGTGTTAATCCCGTTTGCAGTGTTACTACATGTGAAGCTTAATTCAAGCAGGTTTCAGGTAGATTTGAATCGTTCACTCAAAAACAGCTGCCTGTTAAACTCTTGGTCTGTATGAGCAGCATGGTAACAAATATGAATTACAGAGTGTATTGTTAATGTGACAAATATAATAAAGTTCTTCCTTTACAATATACAAGTATATGGAGCTCTTAAAGTGACTATTGTGGTCAGAGCAGTTACAGACAATGTTTTGATTTCTTCTGATTTTGCTGTTAATAGGTCATAGATGAACATCTGCACAATTTAATGCCTTTTATATTCAATGTTATATAAATCAGACTAACAATGTGGCACAAGGGTTTGGCAGATTGTTCCAGAAATGCAAATTTCTTATGTTCGTTATTACAAGCCAAAAATTTTACATTATCAACATAAGAACACATTTGTAACTGACTGATAGAGACGTGGATAGAAATAATAACATGTTACATACGTTGACACTAGATTAAGCTACATGTAGCCACTGCCAGCCTCTAATCCATATTGCCTGGAATAGCTTTATGAAAAGTATTAACAAACCACTGGCCTTCTATCTATCCTCCTTTTCATCTTTTCAAAGAGAATAAAACAAAATAAACAAAAATCAAATTCAGCTGCCTTACGTTTTTACACACAAAGAAAAAGTGAACATGAACAATAGGGAAACATGGAGATTATGAGTTCAAAAGGTCACTAAAATGTCACAGAAGTCACTTAAACCTCAGGGTCTGCAGAGAGAAGACCAAAGCAGGAGCCTGCCCCATCCCCTGTGCTGCCTACAAGGGTTATGGAAACAGTATTAAACAGTGAAATGAAGCAGTTCTCCTAATTGAACAGCACAGTACTCCCCTGTACAGAAGAGGATTAGGGACACTGAGTTCTGACTTTAATCTCAGAGTCAGAATTCTGAGATTAAAGTCAGAATTCAAAAAAATTCTGTACAGCAGCCCTTATCGTTTTCTGTACCACTGACATCCAGAATCTGAACAAGATAAGCACCAGCTGCCATTTGTGTTCTGGAAACGTTCTGATGCTGTAACATTTGTAAAACAAGTTTTGCATGTGAACATCTCAAATACTACAATACAGTATCTCTGACCCTAATCGGTTAATTAAATGAATTAGAATGGGTTGTAACAGATATTACTTCCTTTCCACTTCTAATTGAGAAAACAACTAAAACACAGTTTTGTTGTGCATTTTAATCTTCATTACTCAAAAAACATGTATAAGCACAGTAGGGCTGGGCGAAAGTACCTAAATCACAACACTAACATTAGTGCTTCCTCTGCTGTCACTTAAATACCAGCAGTTCTGTGGACTTACAGCAGTAACATAAGCTCTCGCCATTTCCTCAAAGATGCCTGCAGGTGTGAGCATGCTAATTTACTTGCATTGTGCTCTACTGTATCTCCATCATTATCGTAATTGTTATTTTGTAATGTTTGTAATCATATTGTATAAGCAATACACTTTCAGTCTCTCTCTCTTCTTTTATCACATGCACACATGCACAGTGCTTAATGCCATGCATTTAGCTGAGGGAAGTGATTTTAAACCGCTGGCTTAGAGCCCTCACACCCTGCCACACAAACACACAGATGACGTGAGACTCCGTGATGTGATAGCGCATG